TCTCTCTCTTTTCCCTCCACCCCCACGTGCATATCAGTGATACGCTAAATTCGTCGGTCGCGAAACGAACGACTCGCCGTCGTCGAAATCGGAGGTTCGCCCCCTCCCCTCCTCCTCCTCCTCCTCCTCCTCTCGTCATCGAACTCGCGGCCGCGCGTCCAATGCGACCAACGGCGTGCGCCTGCTGCGAAAACAGCAACAACAACAACAATCGCTCTCTTCTCCATTATGTAGAACGATTTATTGTAATATAATGAATAAATTATTATGTATGTTGACTTTCCGGAGATATCGATGCGCGCGCATCACGAGAGCGCACGAGGGGCGCGAGCGGCGCTCTCTCGTGCGTGTTCACCGTGCGTGTTCCGAAGTGACTCTGAGACGCGACGCTCAAGAGAGATACCGTAATGATATATATAATATCCCGCGATTTTGTTATTATTACACGTGTGATATATTTCGGCGAAAACGCGCGGGGACCGAGACCGAGAGACCATCTTCGCACCTTCGCGTTCATAGGTGTTACCGATCGAGCGCCGACGCGGCGGCCGTTCGCTCGGCACTCGGAGGATGCGCTCGGGCGGCACTTTATCAGCAGTCAAAGCGTCGTTCTATTTTTATCGCTCATTCGGATCTAAAACAAGGGTAGAGCGGCGTTTCAGCCGATAGCTCGCTCCCCCGAGCGCACCCGAAGTATTTTATACCGTGACGTATTCTGTCGCGCGGATAATTGTTCGCGAGATGAACGTTGTGCGTGTGTGTGTATGTTGTATAGCAGACTATTAATGTTGTACTATTACCTAAGTGTAATGACGTCGAAGATTTCCAGTCAGAAACATTATTCGTTCGTGGATTGTCAATAATTTGATGAAGAATCGATAAAGATTCTCCAGCGTGGCAATCACAATGCGCAAATATTTAAAAAATGACGGGTCTAACTGGAAATTTTCAACGGTTGCGTTCAGCAGAAAAGAAAAACCCCCGATTCCGCCAATTTCGGTTAATCTAATCGACCGACAATTAAATCGATTAAATCGGAACTGACCGGATCATATGAATCAATTAGCTAATTCGACAGTGCGATTGGTCAATTCCATTGATTAATTAATAGTCAATCGATCGGTTAGGTTAACCAAAGTTGATGGAATCGGGGACTTAGTGAGCGCTTTGCGATTGTTGCTTCTGATTGGTACATTCTCCCAGATTTATGAAAGATCTAAAAGAATATTCCAATCACGCGCAATAATCACAAAGCGCTTAGTAAGTGAGTGCTTTTCCTGTTGAACGCTGAAGGGGCATGTTACCACGCCTAGCAAATCGAACGGCATCAACGGGAACTGCTGTGCAACCTTCACACATTTCGGACATTCGTTCGTCGCTTTTGGTTTCAGCGTGGAAAAGAGCGCCGACTCGGATTTACTCTCTCGGTTATCACGCGGCGAGCAATACACGTGTTCGAGGAAGACTAGCGCGGACGGTGGTATACTTAAGAGAAATCTCTCTCTCTCTCTCTCTGTCGATTCGTGCGCTGGAGTCTATTTGGTTTTTTTTTGTTTAGTCGATTGAAAGAAGGGAAACGTTGAGTTTGTACATTTACAACACGTTCGAGACAACACGTGTACGTTCTACGTACGATCGATCTGTCCCAAAGATGAATTCGTTATTGCGGTGGTACTTCTTTCTATTCTTCTTAGATTTCGACCCCTGCGATCGGGAAAGTGGCAGAGTGTGTGACTCTCGTGACTTCTCGACCTGTCCACGTTTCGTTCGTAATGTAGACAACACGGGCGGTGCAATGTCCGCCGCATCTCGCGGGCGTCCAGCTTCCACGAGCTGCTTCCTTGAGCTGCGAAAAAAATGCTGAAGCGAGTCGTGACGAGATTGGAGACAATACGAATAGATAAAGAGAGAAAGAAGAAAGGAGGAAGAAGAAAAAACGTGGAGAAAAAAAGAAAAGAGGTCAAACGACGATTTATTTGTCACGCAGTCGCGTTACGCCAATCCGCGTGGAAGGACACGACTCGAGCAATTTGGGAAAAAAAAAACACACGAGTGATATTACGGATAGACACTTTTATTAAATACGCACTGAGATTGTTTACTTATTAAGATAACGAGAGACATTTGTATGTATATTTATAGACTGCTCTAGCGATATATTACCTTTTAAGTAATCGGATAGACGAAGGAGTGTAGATACCGACGAGGGGACACACACACGTATTTCGCGACGCGCGGAAAAAGAGTCAACATTTTTGGAGGTAGCGAATTCTTTTAGGAAGGTTATTGTATTTTAATGTTTAACACTTCAATCAGTTGTTTCCCCCTTTTTCTTTTTTGACAAGTACACGTGTAAATACAGCTTACGTGCCTAAAAGAAAAAAAGAGAGAAAAAAAAGATTCACTCGCCGAGCATCATTTGACTCGATTTCTTTCCGCTCTTTCGCCGATTTCACAAATTCCGAATAAATAAATATGTATTTATTTATTTATTTATTCATTCATAATCTTCGAGACGAGAGCTTTGCCGACGCAATCGGTGGAAACCGATAGCGGGACTTGTGATTTCGCATTCTACTGCGCACTCGAGTAGCTCCCGACAAGATGAATGCCCGCCAGATGTAAAGCGTAAGTAATAGTTTCACGTGAGAAATTCTCGACACCGGTAAGTAAGTGGAACCGCGGAAGATTTACTGGAGAGATGCTCGGGACCGCCTGATCAGCCACATACCCGATAAACGTGTAATATTATTTAATATTAAATAATATTCTGGGCATATTCTTAGAATATTCGACGGATAATGTTCTAATAATATCCTAGTAATTATCATATTTAATATTAAGTAATATTTCTAGAATATTAATAGATGGTTACATGTCCGCTCCTAATTATGTATGCAAAGACATGTTCATGTAAAAAAGAAAGGAAAAATTTGGAGACAGTTCCTTGCGATCTTGACACCCGACCTTTGAAAAATTGATAAGAAACAAAACTTCATAGGTGATTTATTTTATTCAGTTCCGTCCTCTCTTTTGTATACGCTCATATATAAGATTACATTCATCGAGATCATCATCATCATTCTCTTCAAACCTGGTCGTCATTTTCGTGACTTCAGTCTATATAGAAATCTGAAACACACCTCTGTCGTTTTTTGCCTGACTGATCGTTGTACAAGATGTTAATTCAATAACAAGAAATAACGAATATATTATTCGTATAAAAATGTTTTATGTACACTTTCATTGTGTGTTACATGCTTAGTATACAAGTATTGTTACGATTATGATTATTATTATCGTTTTTGTTATTAATGTTATCATTACAATTTTTATTCTTAGTGCTATATATATATTTATTTATTTATATATATATATATATGAGTATATTAAATTACTACGGTGTTGTTGCAGGTCTATGTAAGGAAAAAAGTAAACATCTCTGTAAAATATAATTATATAAACAAAAAGATGAAAATATATATATATATATATAAAATAAATCTAAAAAAAAGTTAAAATGTAAAACGCACTTTGGACGGTAGGCATTACAACTAATACTGTGTAAATTATTACAGAAGAAAAAAAGGAAGGGTCGAAATATACGTAAAAACGTAAGTAATTTTTATCTTTGAATTAAAGACAGCTTTGTACATGGAAAACCTATTTATATTACATAAAAGCTCTTTTATGTCTGATTATAAAAATGCGTTTGGAAAATTTAACGTACATGCCTCAATGAGAGATCGAGTTATCAATATTGCGTCATAATTCATTAATTTTTTTTATTCTCTTTTTCTCATTGGCACAACGAACGTAACCCGTAACTATGAGACGCGAAAAGATCGTCCGCTTATTACGATAATCACAAGTTTCAGAGGTTCATGAGATTCCGGCAGTTACATTGTTATGTCGCCGAAGCGAGAGAAATGCATCGGAGAAACCATACGGGAATGGCAGTCCCGGAAGAAAAGATCCGTTTGTCTCCGGCCCGAAATTATGACGTACACGAAGAAATAATATTTCAAACGGAACTAAAGAGACAGCATTCTTACCAAGACGCGTTTATGCAATATTCTAGATTAAGTTAATGTTTACTCGTCATTCCTCTGCAGCGCTTCCATAGCTCAGCGCGGCAAGATCAGCCACGGGAAGATCGCAACACTTTTTTTGATAAGTTTCGGGAAGCATCCAGTGTCCAATAAGAGAATTCATTGTTTAGTGATTCTCAGAAGATATATTTTCCTATGGGATACGAGATGCGTCGTGAAATTTATCGTCAAAAAAGTGTCGCAATCACAGGCTTCTAAATAATACATTAGACTGCGTACTGCCGCTTATCAGGCGTATGCAATCTTTACATATTCCTATAAGCGCGTAACATCATTTAATATTAAGAAATATTCTGAGTATATCAGAATATTAGATGTAATATTCTAATAATATTCTAGTAATATTATTTAATATTAAGTAATATTTCTTGAATATTAATAGATGGTTATATGTCCACTCCTAATAATATTAAAAAAATAATATTATTCAATGTAATATTATATATTTTTTTTAATACTCAACTCTATATGTATATATATAATATATATAATTGTAGCTTTTTATTTCAAGTGTATTGCAATACCAATTGGTTTATTATATAAATAAAGTTGAAAGAATTTTCTGTAAAAAATACGTTTTATATTTAAAAAAGTTATATATACATTTTTCTTTTTAATATTATGAGAACATTTTTATATGCCAAGAATATTACGTGAAGTGGGCATGTAACATCAATGGAACATTTCTATAATATCAAAAAAATATTACATAACATTCTTAGAATATTATAAGAAAATTATCTTAATATTGAATAATATTCATACAATATTCTAGGAATATTACACACTTATAGACTTGTAAATTGTAACTTTTCACTTGTATATAAGATATTAGAGTACATACGCGAAATAAGAGCACAAAGCACGTGACTGTCTGCCGACACTTGAACTCATAGATTATAAAATACTTGAAGAAGGATATCTAACAATTTTTATACTGTAACTTCCCCACGCACCCTAACGGCACTTTCATGCAAAAGACAGATCGAGTGACGCTTAAAAGTGTGTACCAAGGAATTTCCTGTTGCATCTAGAATACAAAATAGCGGCGTGAAGCGTGAGCAACCTTCCTTGCGCCTCTATTTCGCGTATGCGCCGTATCCAATTTTAATACATACGTTTAGGATACCTTCATATAGATAGTAAATGTATCAAATAGAAGTGTCCGCGATAGCAACCGTGCGTTCTTGGGACTGCCTGGGCGCGCGTACAGAGAGCCGCGTTTTAGATGAACCATTCCTTCTTCTTCTGCACTTGATGGCCAGTGGTGGAGTGAACGACCGCCGAGTCCGGGTCCAAGGCTATCTCCGCGCCCTTATCCTCCTGCGTCAGGTATTCGCCCTTGTGCCTGGACATGTATCTACCTATGAGTATCGCCATGATGACGAGAGCGATGAGTATCACCGCCAGGACGCTCCCTAAAATGGCGGTGTCGGTCTCGTTGTACGCGGCGCGCACTTTCTCCTCGTCCACGTCCGGCGGCGGCCGGGTCTCCAGTACATCCGGTGGATGGGTGATCGGCTCGACCCCGCAGAAGTCCTCGGTCGGTAACCCGGGGCCGAGTGAGCGCACGTTCGCGGGCCCGTTCTCCTGGAAGAGCAGCTTCAGCGGATATATGTCGTCGAACTCGACCCGCGAGATGCAGCCGGCGAATCCCTCGTTCATCGACTCGTTCCTGCCGATGTACATGTACTGGATGTTGTTGAACTGCGCGTCCGCGGAGGTCTTGATGTCGAAGTTGAACTCCCGCGGCTCGTAATTGTCGATCTGCATTACCAGGGTGGCGCCCGAATTCTTCCTGCTGATCCTCACATCGTGGTACTGGCCGAGGCCGAAGTGCTTGTACGGGAATATCGCTTCCCGCCGTTCGAAGCCGAAGTCGAACACCACGCGCAAGTGGCCGCTGTTGGAGACCATTATCGTCATGTACTCGCCCGAGATGTTGGAGAAGAGGCCCAGCAGGAACCCCTTCGGATTCGTCGTCGTGAAACCGATGCGTATCTTCTCGGCTATGGTGGAACGCCAGCTGCCCATGAAATCGTACTTGATCATCGAGGTGGGTCGCATGTTTATGCCGATCTCTGAAAAACAACCCTTCATTCGTGGCTGCAGCGCTGAAGCGATCTGCTCGATCGTACACGTGTTGAGGATAGATAGATAGATTATTATTATTATTATTATTAAGAGAAGCAACGTTGAGTGAACATGATCGGTTTCACAGGCTATCTGAATCACACGATCAACCGGCATTTGAATTCAGAACTAAAGGTCGACGAAAGGACATATAATGTAATAGTGAATCAAATGATTTTCATTCTAATTTTACTATATCACGATTTCGAGAAATCCTTTCTCGGCGTGTCGAGTTACGAGCGCTTCGCACTTACCGTCCGCACAGATCGGCCCTTTGAACGCGGTCCATCGGCAGTCGCACGAGTAGCTGTCGTACCTCTCGTAACACGTGCCGTTGTTGAGGCAGGGACTGCTCTCGCATCTGCCGACGCAGTCTTCCGTGACGCCGTACAAGCCGCGCCGGGCGCGACTTCTCAGATCCTGCAGTTGGCCGTTCAGAAGCAGGGACCTTATGCAACCGACGTAACCGTCCCTGTAATCGAGCGTGGCGCCCACCATGAGATCCGAGGTGAGGTGAATCGCCCGCACGGGGCCCGGGGGCTCGCGCACCCGGTTCGACAGCGCGTTGTCGATGACGATCCGCGCCTCCTTGCGATTTCTCTCCACCGACACGGAGTGCCACTCGTTGTCGGCCAGCCTGTAAGACGTCTGCACGCTCACCGCGAGCGGCCCGCCGCCGGCCATGTATTGGAAGTGTATCAGGTTGCCGCTGTTGATCGAGATCTTGATGTAATCGGTCGGCCCTCTGCTGTGGATCATTACGGCGTCGTCCACGGTCGTTTTGAATTCGAAATAAATGTCGCCGCTGTGGCCGATGTCGAACGTCGGCAGGCTGATGGTGGCGTCCGCTATGCGGAATGTCACCATGTTCTTGAACAAATCTGCAAGTCGAAAGTGGTGTATCGGTAATAGTCTATCTTCGTCCGAGGGTTCAGCCTCGGATTCTGCAATTTTCAACCGACAGTGTCGTTGTCGTCACAGTGTCCTCGTGCAAGTACGGCCCCTAGGCAATCTGTTAGACGCACTTTGATTCTTTATTAATAGAATACGGATCAGGAGCAGAAGGTCAGCTGATGATTCTATTTTCGCTCGATTAGAATGATCTTCGGTGTCAAGCGCCTTTACCTCCGCAGCCTTCTGAAGTGTCAAATCACTTGTTTTATCCGTGTAATTTTTCCACAAGATATTACGATATTTTTCCTACGAAAATTCATTCTTGTGTCGGTAAGCAAGGAAATTTGAAGCTTCAAGTCACAAGTAAACGAGAATAAAACTAAATTTCAATTGACACACACACACGGCCGCGTTCAAAACTCACGTCTGTCCTCGTTACTCATCAACAATGCGACTAGCGTGGGTTTATACTTGTTCAAGTTCATCATCAATGTAACAGCCGAGCGAAATGACGTCGTAAAAAATGCCTTTTATAGAATAATGGCCTTTAAGCACAATTCGATCGATAGATGAGCCATATTACGAAGCTGGTCCTCAGAAGTCAATGAAATGTGGGAAATTAAGGTGCGTCTGATAATATGGACAGGGACTGGACAACGGCGGAAAAGGTGAGCGACCGTAACGACGATATATCGTAAAAAGTTGGAGAACCAAAGTTTCTTCGCTGCAGTCGTCTGATGACGCCGGAAGCAAGAAAACGCATGCCCAGAATTCTTGCAGGTGCTATACACACGGGTATAATACTTTCCCCCTCCCCCTCTCTCTCTCGCTCGAACAATCAATAAATAACCGTGAAACTAACATGACGCGAACGTTTCCTTCTTAACTTATCTGTTCTCATGATTTCGCCGCGTAAATTCCACTCCGCCGATTGTTCGAGCAAGTATTCAGAAAAGTATTTAGAAAGTATTCAGAATATTTTACAAATATGCCGAGTCGAATAGAAATATCATTTTATACGTACAATTTAATTTGATAAAAATGTCAGTAAGGAAGCAAGTTTAAAGTACCGAAGAAGAGCGTAATTTAATTAAACGGTACTTGTAACAACAAGAAAATCTCGCATTCGCTGTTCGTTCGTTCGGTGTGTACCCGGCTTTAGAAACGAGAGGTGCGTTCGTTAAGCTTACCGTCGCCTTCGCAGATAAGCGGGCTCAGCGTGTAACGTCCCATCTTCTCGTCGACCGGTGTGCCCGTGTCGCCGAAGCGCAGCTGCTTCACGGGCAGGTACTCCTTCTCCGTGATATCGCCGCCGTCCTCCAGCCACCCGTCCAAATTAGCGTCGCAGTTGCACCACTTGGTTGGGTCAACGCAGGTCCCGAGTATCCCGCACTCGCACTTCCGCGAGCCGGGCAGCGCGCCGCCCCAATAGTCCATCTTCTGATTGTGTCGGCTGACCCACCACGAGTTCGGCGCGAAGTACTCGTCTTGGCGAACTGCGGGAAGAAATCGTCGTGAAACTGGGACGAGCGTGACGTGTCGCGAGGTCTCTGCAGGGGGG